ACCACGCGGGCCCAGTGCGGATTGGTGGGTACTAACGACTGCAGATGCAGCCGGAACCAACAGACCAGCAGCACGGAGGAGCTCGAGATAGTAGTAAATTTTTGGTCACCCATCCAATGACCGACCACTGCGAAAGTTGCTTAACTTCAACGATCGCAGCCGAACGCGCTAACCACTTGCGCCATCGAGCTCCTCCTTAATAATTTGTCCATATTGAATTACAGAAACGAGATAAGCTAGTTTTCCAGAATAAAATTAAGCAAGGTACAAAAGAAGCTATCGATAAAAAAAACTGTTTTATTCCTCCGAATGACTAAACATCATTATATCCACAAAATACGTTTACACGCACGACTAACTATTCGCTTACAACGGCAGTTAGCAGTATAAAAAGGTATAATAGACTACGGTGGAGGATACTTCCCCAGGCTGGCGCTACAATACGAGCGGAATCCTCACTATGCCCTATCTCTGGAATCGTCATTGTCGACCCAATATCTGCAATGTGCACTTTTTGGAGATGTCGACATTTTCATCATTAAAACTGTATTCATCATTATATTAATCGATTTTTCGAATAGAAAGACTGCTATGAGCATCTCAACATTGTAGCGGTGAACAGAGGTTGCTAAGTGATTATACTATGTGCATCAGCCACAATATTTTTATTTATTTATTTATCTCTCCTCCGTTTACAAATACATTTTAACACTTATTGTATAATTAACTTATGGTAGTTATTTATATGATAGTTTGTATATCAGGCCTTGTATAGCCACAATATTGTAAAATTTCAACTGTTATGTTGCCATAAGGCGCTGGCTGAAAATCAGTGCTGCTGTGATGTCGCGAAGGCGTTTACCACAGAGCATAGCTGAGTTAGCGACCTGTTGGCCTTGCACGGCACGCACTATTACGTAGTATTTAGTTTTCATGTGTTTTTTTATTATGTCTATGTGTTTTATTTTATACTAGCTGTGCCCCGCGGTGTTACCCGCGCTTCATTAGGGATATTTTCCCGTAGTAAATCGTAGCCTATGTGTATATATATAATTCAGGGTATCAGCTAACTCCATTCCGAATTTCATTACAAATCGCTGCAGCCGTTTAGAGGTGAAGAAGTAACAAACATGCACACTCACAAACTTTCACCATTATAATATGTGTTATATATAGTGTAATTTTGTTTTTCTAATTTCGTGCTAAGAAGGCCAATAAAATGTTTTTCTTTCTTTCTTTGTTTGAAAGTATTATTTATTTTTGCATATCGTCTCCTTAACATGTAAATTTGCTATCTCCACTTTATTCAAGGATTTGCCAAATTTACGTAAACGATGTGTTCACATTAATGGAAACAAACGCCATTGTTAGATAATTTTTGACCAAAAGTGGGGTTAGCAAAATTTCTTGTTAAGCAGACGATATGGCAGATATTGGTTTGACAACGATCGTTAAGCTAAACACTAGCTTTAGCTACTTCTTTAGCCTAGAAAGTTCTAAAAGGATTTGTCAGGAGCGATTGCCCTGTTGAACAAACGACGCAATCCAAATAGACGTCTCTAGCTCAACATTTTATCTTGTGTGCACATCCATATTACAAGTTTTAACTTATCACTATAAGATAATATAGAATCGTGATAAAAAATCAAACAAAAAATGCATAGATTAATACTTAAAAAGTGACATTTAACATAAAAAATGCAATCGAGTCTTTTTATAAGTGGTTATTATGCCGAGTCTATTTTTATCGCTCTATTAAAATAATAAACGAAAGTTATAATTTTAAAGATAACAATCATCATCATCAGCCTATTAGTGTTCCCGCTGGTGGGGCACAGGCCTTCCCTATGGATGGAATAGGGAGATTGGGCCATGACCCACCACGCGGGCCCAGTGCGGATTGGCGGGTGCTAAAGACTGCAGTTGCAGCCAGGACCAACGGCTTAACGTGCCTTCAGAAGCACGGAGGAACTCTAGATAGAAGATTTTTGGTCACCCATCCAATAACCGACCATTGCGAAAGTTAGTTAACTTCTACAATCGCAGCTGAACGCGCTAACCAACAGCGCCATCTAGTTCCTCAAACTTACGACCTACTTAACGCGAACAACTTACTTAACGAGTTCCAAAAAATTACAATGATTAGGGGTATTTATTTAATAATTTAATCTTCTTAAATTGTATAATCAAAATTTGGGAAGCTTACCTATCGTCTTGTGATCAAAATTAATAATGCGAACAGTAAAAAAATCAATTCAATAATTATTAAACGTTCATAATACCTCGATTAACTCATTGTGATACGAATCAGATTGTTCAGTTACAATTTAAACTTTGCCACATTGTTATGATAAAACAAAACTATGGACACTTTAGTCTGTTTTTTTTTTATTATTATTATTATATGTAAACTTAATAAAATGTATGGTTAGATTCATCTAGCTATGTAAAGTATGCTGTATACATAAAATCCAATTTCAAACGTTTTGTTTTAAAAAAATAACATTCTTCAAATGCTCTCTGTTAACCGCATTCATACATATTTCAAAGAAACATATACCGGATGCTGAATTCGAGGATTTTTCCTAAAGTCGTGAGTGTTGCCAATTGTTGAAAGCTTGGTTGGTAATTTCCATTTTTAAATAAAAAAAGGTATGGTAGGATTAAATAAAACGAGAAATCTTTTAATGTTAACTCGTAAACATTAATCTTTAACGGAAACTTTGCTAATCATTTTGAATTCTGTACTCGTGAAAAAAACATGCCTAAGAAAAAAATAACATGTTTTTTTTTACGTTTTTTTCTATCGCGAGGTAGGCAAATGACTCTACCCCACCTGATGTTAAGTGCTGATAAAGTCCAAACGCGAAGATAGCTGGTACAGCAGTTATAAACTGCTACGCCAACCATCTTCACCTTGTCGGCCTGCAAAAATACTTCTTCACGGCTCTCTTAAAGGACCCCAGATTGTAGGAAGGAGGGAATACGTGTTTTTCACGTCCTTTTCACGATATAAAAAAACTGCTTTTTTTCACCACTAAGTGTCTGTACTGTAAAAACAATAAATCGATGTATCATAAACTTCCACGTATTGTGTTTTAAGGCCAAATATTAAAAACTGTTTTTTTAAACGTTACTACGGTATCAAAAGCTTTGTAAGTTAAAGTAGTTAATATTGAAAAAGATGTTGATTACAATGCATGCGCTATTTCTATTTTATTTAATCGAATCTATATACGGGTCCAGGTGTGTCACTACTAGAAAAGGCAGAAGGCATGGGTCACAAAAAAGTATGTGTGAATGAATATAATGGAAACGGAAATAAGAGACGTGCATTCACATCACACACTAGGTATATAAAAAATGTTGATGCCTTGAATATTTTATTTTTATAAATTTATTCATAATTAAAATTAAACAATATTCTTTTATCGTTTCTGAAAAAGCAATCATCATAAATAACAAGTCACAAAAATTTACACTCACCACGGAATTTGAAAATGGTCTAAGTCGAAAATTTGGCATAAAAAATACCTAATTATTTTTAAATACCTAATGAAAACTTTTGCCTATGGTCAAGCTCTGGAATGGATACTACTGATTATGCCATCGCGGTTAACATTTTCAAGTAGGTTAGTATTTTAATTTTTGCCTGCATGGCAGCGCCATTTACTTCGCTTCGCATTATAGTTAAATAATAAGTAATGTAAAATTTCTTTAGTTACAAAAGTCGAGCAGACATAATTAAATTTCATGCTTGATAAAGTTACGTGTTGACTTGACGTATTGCTAATACAAAGAAAGTAAAAGCATCAACTTTATAACAAAACATTTAAGTTTTATTAAAGTAAATTGACTTATAGACTTCGTAAGATGCTGCAATTATAGTAGCGATTACCGACTCTACATTTTCATTTCATTGAAAATTCAAAAATATTTTTTTTTTTAATACTTTTTAACTATTGGATTAATTATTTTCGTCGTTTATTTATAGCACTAATTATGCTTTATAAAAATACTGAGAAATAATAAAAAATATTTTAAACATTTCAATGACCACCAACGGGCTCTATTTGAATAAAGTCCTAGTGAAATTGCATACCAAAGTGAATATATTTTTCTAAATATAAGTTTAAAAAGTGAGCTAAATTAAGGAAGAGTCGTTGAGAAATGAAAAAATGTAGGTACGTCTATGTCAAAAATTCATATAACATGTTCATATACATAAAACGACACCACCAGAAACTTGTAGGTGAACCACCATCAGTGAATAAAATTCACTTCAGATCTTAGCAAGCTTGTAAAAATTATTTCTTCCATGTCGAGGAGATACAGTATGTGATGCATGCCAAATAGCAAATTATGCATAATTCCTTATTTTGCTTGACTACTTATTTGTAGACTTTACATTAAAAATAAATTTATTGAATTCTTTATTCATAAACTTTATTACACATCTGTCTAAATATTTCGCTCGCCTTATTTCTATAATCATAATACTTTTTCTTGAAATTGAAAAGGCAAGTAGCACACGCACGCGTACGACCTAGAAATATTTTTGACAAAGATACTAATCTAACTTCCCTAATCTTGTGAACTCATGACACGATCAAGTTCATAATTGAATAACTCGCAGCGAACCCCGAAAACTTCCGATGTTACGCCGCGAGTAAGTAAACTTGTCAGCGCTGGTGAAAAGTTTCGCGTGGCGAACTCGCCAACTAAAATAACTCGTGAGCTTCGGCGGTAGGTCTGGTCGCCGGCTAGCGGCAATAGAGCCAGCACTATCCGCACAAAAGATATTGCGAGAACGTAACGAGCTCAATTGATGAACGAACGGAAACGTGTCCAATTAGAAGGAGGCGGCGGCGGCGGCCGCGAGTGTCGCCCCCGCGCGCCGCATTAACCAGATTAGCGGAGTGTACCCCCCCGCTCCCTCCCTCCCTTCAGCGTCAGCGCTGCGAGCGCGCGAGGTGTGGCGGCGGCGGACACCTCGCCCGCGACGAAAAAACAACGCGTCGTGGTGCCGTCGCCCCGCCTGCCGCCTGCCGCGCGGGAGGGCGCGCGCGGGGCGCCGCTCGGCGCGCCATTGGGCGGCGCGCGGCGGGAGGGGTGTCGGAGCCGGCGCCGCCGGCGGCCAGTCGTTTGACGCCTGCCGCGCGAGCGGGTGTCGCCACGGGACGAGCGAGTGTCGCGAACGAGCCGCCGGCCGGCGCGTTATGGACGTTGCATGAGCGGGCGCGAGCGCGACCGCTGGAGCCGACGGGCACGCCGGTCGTGGAGCGCACGCCGTGGGCCCCGGGCGGCGCGGGCATGCGCTTCGAGGGCGCGGAGCGGCGCGACGCCGTCGCCTTCCATCCGCTGCTGGCGCCGCGCCCGAGTGACTTCTCGGTGTCGGCGCTGCTGACGGCGGGCGCACTGCCTCCGCCTCCGTACCTGCCAGCCGCACTCGCCGCTGCCGCAGCGCTGTCCGCGCCCTGTCCGCTGCTGAAGCCACCACCGCCTCCGTACGCGCCACTGCCGCCGGACGACGACGGTGTAGTCGACGACCCCAAGGTCACCCTCGAGGGCAAGGACCTCTGGGAGAAGTTCCACAAGCTGGGCACCGAAATGGTGATCACCAAGAGTGGCAGGTCAGTACGGCCCCGCGCAAACGCCACCGTTGCTCTTTACGGCACCCGAATGTGATCGTGATAGCGATTATGACGGACGTGGTTCATAGTGTTGTGTGTGCACAAATCACAATTAATTAGAATAAATATGTGTGTTCGGGGTAAGTGTTATGATAGAGTTACTACCACTACCGCCTTTCAAACCAGCAGGAACGAAAAGGTGGAAGTTACAGAAATGTAGATCATAACAATTTAGACGGTACCAAAACAAATAAGTTAGAGCAAAATGTAGAGTCGAACCCAACATAACTTTACAAAATAAAGGCTAACTGCTTCAAAAATATACTAACATTATCAACAAAATATTTTTTTCTATCATTATCGTATTACATTACAAATATTATTTAACTAAGTAAATTTGAGTTGAGTTTCTGTAAAAAAATAGCATAACTTGGCGAACTAACCCGTAGCGTAGGGCAACGCGACTTAGGCGCATATTGCAAAAAAAACTGCCCGACGGAACGTGTTCTCGCATTAATGATGCTCCAAATTGCACAAGTCTGGGCTGTTGCAATTTTTTGAACTTTTTAGCATGAATTTTGTGCAATGAAGTCTTGGTGTCTTTAAAATAATAAATACTTAGATAGATGCAGCTTTTTTAAAGAAATAGTTTTGTGGCTCCAAGGAAAGAATCTCTACTTTGCTTTGCGGCATAACAAAAAGAAGAAATAAAAATGCTTACAAAACTTAAAATGATGCATTTACATTAATTCAAAATAATAATTTGATTAATTTAGTAAAATTATTTGTACCAATAATTAATGTAAATGCATAAAGGAGAAACTGTTATTTTCTAACAAGCGCACCTCCGAGTTGCTTTCGAATTGGCATTGCATAAAAAACATAATAAAATCGAATGAAAAACAAATCCAACTTCAAATCCTACCTGAATTGTAGAGTTATAAATAATAGATCGTTTGTTTTTCTCAAAAGTTCTAATTGCAACATTGTATATTTTGCCTGTTCGCTTTTTTATCATATTTTTTGATGTGTTTAATGTAATAGATGCTCGAAAAAATAAATAAAATAGAATAGATTCTTGAAAACAAAATCGAATTAACTCATCGAAACTAAATTTTAATAATATTACAAAATAATGCTAAATAATTGGTTCTAACAAGTAAATCCACCACTTTTATTGTAAATGCTTTGTTTAATGGTTATTATAATCTTACCTTTACCGATAAAAGAAACACAAAATAAGAAAAAAACAATACAATGCTGGCACATAAATGGTAGATTCTGGTTTTGTAGAGTTTAATGTAATAGATGCTCGAAAAAATAAATAAAATAGAATAGATTCTTGAAAACAAAATCGAATTAACTCATCGAAACTAAATTTTAATAATATTACAAAATAATGCTAAATAATTGGTTCTAACAAGTAAATCCACCACTTTTATTGTAAATGCTTTGTTTAATGATTATTATAATCTTACCTTTACTGATAAAAAAAAAACACTAAATAAGAAAAAAAAATACAATGCTGGCACTTGAATGGTAGAAACTGGTTATTTATATATATATATATAAGTAGAAACACCGAAATGCTAATAATGATAATATTGCAGGGCTGAAAATATAGTAAATTATTTTAAGCGTGTCATTCCTACTCTACATTTAAACATACCAAAAGCATAAATTCATTGGTTCCCACCTAACAATGAATTTTTCTCATTCTATTTTAAACGCTTTGTTTAATCGTTATTATAATGTTCCTAAACAGTTTGAAAAACATAAAAAAAAAACAATGTTGACGCAAATAGTAGAAACTGGTTGTTTATTTTTAAAAATGCTAATATTTGCAGGAACAAAAATATTGTATATTATAGTAAGCGTAAAATATACCTTTTCTACCTAATTTGCCATTTTATTTACTAAATTATTGCAAGTGTTTTAAATTTACAACTTAATTACTGCTGTTTTGCATACAATTTAAAAAACCTACCTAAATAGTACAATGTTCATCTTATTTTAAATCGTGGTAATCTTATAATGATATTAATTAAATAGTTATAGACGCTATACTGAGCAACATTACTTAATGCAATTTATCAAAAAAAAATCCAAAATGATTTTTAATTTTAAGCCTATAATATTCACACTAAATGCGAAAAGGTATTCAGTTAACGGAGTGTGAACAGCAATAACCTCAGTCTAAGCTAATAATTAACATAAATCTCACTGCGAATATATATTTAATTACTAAAGCAATTAGGATCAAAGAAGTTTTTGTATACTTTTGTTTTTACCAATTTTTATTTTGCACAAAATATACCATAATTTAAAGAAATCCTATTTTGAATTGTTTCAGCAGCTTAAATAATTTAAACCTTATAGAAGACTAGCTTCTGCCCATGACTTCATCCAAGTTCTAGTTAGTTTTCCTGAATATTTTGTTTTTCTGGGATAAAAATAATCTTATCTCTCAATCCAGACAATAAACTTTATATGTGCTAAATTTCATCCAAATCCGTTCAGCCGTAAAAAACATTGATACATATGAACATTTACATAAATAATATTAGTAGGAATGTTGCTATCTGACAGTATTTTATGACGCTGTTTGGGGCCAAGATAAAAAATACTAATAATATCTAGATTTTTTTGGTGAAAATTTTTTCAAAATGGTTTCAGCAGCTATTTCAGAAATAAGGTACTTACAACTGACAAACTCACAAGTTTTGTTATTTAATTTTTCTTTCAAAATATTTGAAGATACAGAAAAATAAGCGTAAATAATATTAATAGGTATAAATAAAGCAACGTTTTTTTCTACTGGGAATATTAAATATTCAAATTCGAATATTACATACTTGATTTTTTGCATCTACGTACTAACCGTAGTTTTCAAAAATGAAAATTCGTGTTTTTTTTTCTGGAGCATGTTTTTTTCACGCGTACGGAATTCAAAATATTTTAGGAGTGTTTCGTTAAAGAATATTTCTTATGAGTTTATATTATAGTTTTTTTTGATTATTTGAAAACCAATAAGGTTTTTTTTATTTTATGCATTGCCAATTTAAACAATTGGCAACATTCACGACGTACGGGAAATTCCTCGAATATGTTCGATTTATATTTTGCCACAAGTATGAACGCAGTTAACACAGCGTATTTGAAGAATCTCAGTTTTAAGGCAATGTGTCTGATAAGACAAAACATACCTTAATAAAACATTTATTTTTCAAGGAGTTTTTTCCTTCTTGAGAAAAAAACAAATTAAAAAAAAACAGCGGTACTTAGTTTTATTTCCTGTTTTTTTTCAAAATGCTGAAAAAATACAAATCAGTAAGGCATCAACTACAAATATTATACGTGGTAGTTTATAGGGCTTTATGATATAGATATTGCATTTTGTTTTACGATCAATAAATCGAACGAAATTGGGGCATACCAAATAAAGTTGCGTTACACCTAAATTACAACGAATAAACTACTGAAAACGCATAACCTACATTAAATTATTTCTTTAATCTTGTTATTGTTCCTTTTAACTCTGTATGACTCATTTCTGGATTCACTCACTCACTGCATTTGTAGAATTTGTTTTATTCAAATAAAAATGTAGAGTCGTAAATAATGTTATTTTGAGTTTTTTGTTTCGAACTGCAATGCAATGGAGCTTTATTGTTTGAATTTAATATTATTTTTGCAACTGTTGCGCTATTTGGTTGTAAAAGAAAATCACAAAGTCATGTAGATAATTACAGAGTATATTAAAATTGAAAAACTCTTCAGCGTACCTAAGGCATATTTCTCCAGGATTAATTAATAACTAGCAAACCTGTGAACCAAATGTTCACCAAAAAAAAAAAGTATTTAATTAATTGAGAACTTCGGAGATTTTGTGTGGTTTCGTTTGAAATAGAAATCACGTGATTTCTCGAAAACCGGAAGTGCTACGTTACTCACATCCGGTTTGTAGTCTTATCAGACTATTCTTAACTTATAACTTAAACATTCTCTATATCTATCTCTTACGGTTTGGCCGCTGAAACAGCACCACGGACGGACGGACGGACTTGTCTAATAGATAAGAGATATCATCAAAAATACTAGATAGTTTATCAAAGTGGAGTTTATCGGTTTTCTAATTTTTGAAAAATCTTGTTTCCTTTAATCGCTAGTTACTCGCATATTATGTTAAAGTGCCGTATAACTGTCTATTTAATGTCTTTTAAAATTATTGTGCCAACTGTCTGAGAATATAATTAGACTGTTATAAATAAACATAGATAAATAACTTCGGACTAATTGTCGTTACTTTGTTGATGTTACAAATGTATTAATTGAACTTGTCGTACTCGTAACTTTAAATCACAATATTTTATGGACGCACTGTTTATATTTGGAACTGCACAAAGCAAACAACTCATATGAATATATGGTGGTATATAACTCGGTGGCATTATAAACGTTAAGTGTGAGTTGCGCCACGGAGCTAGTTAAAGTTAAATTTAACTTTATCATAACTTTATTTAAGGTAGTGCTATCTAAAAAACAGATTTTTTTGTTTATATTCACGAACGCATGTATCCATCAGATAATTATTGGAAAAAAATATTTTTCCTGAAGTTAAAGCTCTTTATTTGATGTGGAAGTGGATTAATTTGCTAATAATTAAAATAATTTGTTGTTTTATTTTGTTATAAATACAACAAAGTGAATTAAATTTAGTTACATAAATTGAATTTCAAAATGAATGTGAAATACACTTGCAAATACATTCCAATTAGAGTCCTATCAATAAATACAGGCACAAAATAACAAAAACGGATGTACCCCGCATCATAGTGAATGATACTTTTTTGAGCGTCACTAAAAGTAAGTGCTTTATTGGGCCAGTTAAGTGTTGTGCCTACAAACACTTGTAAGGGCGACGAACGCAAAATTCGGGAGGGTAGCTACCAAGCAACATCAAAGGCGCGAGAAAACTGCCATGGCTTATTTTCTTTTTC